TGTTTAATCTCGTGTAGGGATGTCGTCATGTCGATTTCCAAATCATCCGCCGAGATTTTTTCCATGTAGAGCGAAGCGGTGAATTCGAAGTCCGCCTTGTACGCACTTTCTTCGGTCATGATGATGAATGACGGTCTGAAATGATGCATGTATCGAGGATGGAACGAGTACTGTACGTAGATATTGTACGTCATGGGTATTGATAATATTGCTTTTATATTGATGTTTTTAGTCATTGGTTGAAATATAGAATGGATTATTTCACTTTTTGTTCTGGGATAGTCAATTTCGAGAAATCCCGTGCATGGGTTGGGGTAGACGACGTTTATGCCCCATTTTCGTGGATTCGGATCGTATTGTAATATCTGGCACCCTATTGTTGCGGAGGGTCTGATGTCTCGATGGAGGATGGTGTGGTTTTCGAGGCCCATCACTTCGCTTGTGCCCAGCAACGCCATGCAAACTACTATTTGCAGTATGGTGAAACAGTGAACTGTGCTTGAAGACAGCTGATTCTGTGTATTGTTGTTGTCGTCGTTGTAATTGACTTGTCTGTGATGGCGCAGATTATATCGTGGTTGCGTTTTGGATTCATTGGTACTCAGAGCTTGCTCTGGATATTCGTCCTCCAACTCTAGAGGAACTAGGAGGTTAATAGGTCGACGAATCAAGCGACGGTTTGCTAGACGGATTACTGCTTCTCGTACTATTCCTTGATTGTTCATCACGAGCTTCTCGATGATTCCCGTTTTCCAAGAATGACGTGGAAGTATTGCTTCGCAGATTAGTACGAGTTGTCCTTCTCGTGGTTCCTTGCTGCACCCTTTTTTATGGTCCAACGCCGAGTCATGTTTTTCTCGCAAACTCGTCAGATATTCAGCTTGCCAGATTTGCCAGAACCTCTCTGTAAGTTTGCACGAAGTTTCAAGAGCTGCTATTGCTTGATTCCTTGTTTGTATCGAAGGTATTTCTCCGGGAGGAAAGTAAAATTCGTCAGATCTTTCTTCTCCCCGTCTCAAGGGTGGAAATATGATTTCCACATCTTTCTGGAGGAAATCTATTGGGCGCAGGATTTGAGTCGTGTCCATGTCCTTGCCGATGTAGGTAAGAGGGCGAGTATTGAGCATCGATTCGATTTCAATGACTATTGTTGAAAGTTCTTCGACCGTTACTATTGATCCACGGAGGGTTTTGTAGAGAGAGTGCTTTACGGATTTGACAAGTCTTTCATAAAAACCTCCTTGCCAAGGAGCGAACGGCGTTATGTGCTTCCAGCGAATCTCTCTATTGCTCAATGCTTCCGCTATCGTTCGGTCCGTAGGAGCTGTTGGGAAGTTTTCTCGTAGTATTGCTTCGCCCAATAGAAACGTGGGGGCGTTGTCGCTTATTATTGTTCTTGGCACTCCTCGTCGAGCGAAAAATCTACGTAACATTTGCAAAAATGCTACGGTTGATGAATCGGTAACAATGTCAAGGTGCAGTAGGCGCGTGACCATACAGGTGATTATGGAGCCGTAGCACTTTCCTTTGTCACCATTCGGCAGCTTGATCGGTAGCGGACCAAAGTAGTCCAGTCCGATGTGGGCGAAAGGAGAAGATTTAACTACTCTTTCCTTCGGGAGGTCTTCTTGAGCAGGATATTGATATGGCAAATTGTTCAGTTTCTGGCACTGGAGACATTTTCTTATCAGTCGATATACTTGAGAACGAAGCTGAGGGATCCAGTATCGTTGTCGCACGAGAGACATTGTGTGATTTGTCCCTGGGTGATATTTATTATGAATGTCCTGGATGATAATTTCCGCAAGCAATGTCTTTTGTAAGACGAATATGGGATACTTAGCTCCTATGGGTAGTTGAGCTTTTCCCAGTCGTCCATAGCATCGCAAAATGCCCTCGACATCTGGTCGAATATTGAGATATTGCAGCTTCTGTTTGAGGGAGTTGGTGATCCTCGTCTTTTGATGGTGCATGATTATCATCTTACCAGCAAACTCGATTTCTTGGCCGGTGAGGGGTCCAGAATTTTCAATAATTCCGCTATTGAACAGTGATAGAGGTATACTGCTATTATTGTTCTTTTCATTAACGCGAGCAGCGATGACTCTAATGAACCGCATGGCGTACGCTACAATCCGTTTAGCTTTGGTGAGCGTTCGTACGTGGCCTCGCTGAATTAGTTCGAAGTCATCGTGAATTGATGTGTCGTGTGTGGTAGATAAGACGGGGTAGTCATGGTTCCTGAGAGGGATACTGATTTCCTCTCCTTTGGTGTCTTGCGGAGCTTCAAATATTGTGTTCTTTGCGGGCCATTCCGTCTCGTCTTTCTGCAAAAACCAGGGTCCAGTCCACCAGAAGTGATTGGGGAGTTCTTTTGATGTCAGACCTCTTGTTCCACAATCGGCAGGGTTGTCCTCGGATGCAACATATCCGTACTTGACAAAGCGTTCGTGGCCAATAATGTGGTTTGCGATTCGTCGTATTTCTTCCAGCCGATTATGTATGAACACTCCCTTTTCGCGCTGGGGGCCCTTCTTGATCCAATTGAGGACGATTTCAGAGTCAGAGAAGACGTAAATTCCTTGAATGTTGAGGACTTTTTGCAACTGCGTTACGATTGAGTTGCTGAGACGCATTGCTAAAGTGAATGCGTTGAGTTCTAGTTTTGGTATTGTTGTTTGCCCTTGTAGTGAAGGAAGCTTCGATTTGGCCATGAGCAGTCCAGAAGAGTTTGTTATTGGATGATAGAGGTAAACACAAGCTGCTATTCCTGTTGTACTCGCATCAGCGAAAGTCACCAGTGTCACAGTGCTCTTCCTACAGGCGAGAAACCGGGGTATTTCCTTGCTGAACCCTTGAATATTGCCTAGAATCTGTGTCCATTCAGCTGCTTTGTTGGCTGGTATAGTGCTGTCCCAGTCGTGTTTCTCTTTCCAAAGGAACTGGAGAAATGTTCGGGCTTTATGAAGTAAGGGGACTAACCAACCCAACGGATCATAGACGCTTGCTATTGCACTTGTTATTGCTCTTTTGGTGACTGTTGAAACCTCCGGAATAGAGCATGTCGCAAGTAGGGTATCCGCTTGGGGATTCCATTTGATTCCGAGTACTTTCGGTTGTGGAGTGTCGGCCTTGTCTGTCTCTTGTATTGTTTGCATCACCGTGCTATTGTTTGACGTAAACTCCCGCAGATTCATGCCAAGATCGATGAAGATCTGCTTAGCCTTTCTGTAGAGCTCAGTTGATTCCTGGAGTGTATCCGATGTCAGGATCAAATTGTCGACGTAAATATTGTCCTTGATTTCCTGTGCTAGCTCATCCTCCACGAATTTGTTCAGATGGTATTGTGTCGTTCCTGCTAGGAGAAATGGGGAGGATTTCAGCCCAAACGTGACACGGGTAAATCGGAGAGTCTGGATATTGCTTTTGTCCGGGGGCTTTCTGAAGTCCTTGAGCCACAGACAGCGCGTGGCGTCTCTGTCAGCTTCGTGTAGACGTATTTGCAGGAAAGCTTTCTCAACATCTGAGATGAGAGCTATTTTTCCAATCCGAAATCTGAGCAGTAGGCCGTATAAGACCGGTAGTAGGACAGGTCCTCTATGTAGGACATCATTGAGGGAGGGACATTCTTTATAGTGTGCTGAGGCGTCAAAGACTATCCTCAGTTTTGTCGTCCTCTTCTGCGGTGTCAATACCGGCTGATGAGGTAAATAGTGTATTGTTTTCCCAGTAGGTGCAGTGTTATTGTTTACTGGCTCCACGATTCCTTTTTGAAGCTGTTCGTGGAAGACGTTGTGATATTGTTCGAGAAGACTGCTGTCCTTTTTCAGTGATGTCCAAACATTGACGAGCCTTCGGTACGCCAATGCGTAGTTGTCCGGAAGAGATGGATGATTTTCTCTCCACGGTAGACGGACGTAGTATCCGTCATCGCGTTGTTCTATAGAGTTATTGAATTTATCCCAGACCGTTCTGTCTGTTTCGTCACGAATTTGTTCTTGGGATCCCGTGAACTCTTCTGTTCCGGCGGCGTCTAAAGTCCAATATTTCTCCCACATTTCTTGCTCTTGCTCCGATATTGTTATGTCGTAGGGAGTGATGGTGTTCACGTGGGTATCCATGGACCAGTAGTTGTTCCACTTCATACTTTCGTCTTGAGCCGCGGAAGTCAGGGATATATGTTGATGATTTTGATTGGGCGTGGTCTGTACTCTTCCGGAGACAATGTAGCCCAATTTCGTCGGGAGAAGTATTAGTCCGGAAGGCAGTGATATTGGTGTGGTGTCCGTGCGGATAAATGACCACATCTGGTCGCACCCGAGAAGTATTGCTGGCTTGGAGTTTCGTCTATTGATATTGAGATTTTGGATTGGGATGTTCAGATTTCGTATAGTTTCAATGTCTGATTCTGGTATACGCGGAGTGGTTAAGGGAGAAGTGATCACATCGTTTGTGTAGAGACACAAGGAGTGTAAGCCTCCTTCCTTATCCCAAGCTTCCAACTCGACCAGCTTGCAAGACCTTTGACGGGTTTCTTCGGAGCCAAAGGTATTTATCCTCATGAGCTCCTCCTTGATGACTGGGAGAGAAAGCTCTTCCGCTAGGGATTTATTGATGAACGATAATTCAGCTCCACTATCCAGGAGAACCTCGAGTTGCATCAATTTCCTTGTACCTGGGTGAATTACAGTGATTTCACCCACGGGTAGGGATGGTCGGAACAGTTCCTTTGCTTGAATAGTCGTAGTCATTTGCATCATTGCATTGTTTTTTGAAATGTTCTCGCCGCTGCTTTTGTTGGGTTTGGAAGTTTTATCTGAAATTCTTGTTGGAAATGCTGGATTGTCTGCCTTTTTTGGGATCTGTTCCCTTGGTTTTGATAGATTTTGTTTATAGCAACATGACGTATGGTGGAGTCCTTTGCAGTTGAAGCAAGGCCGCCTTTTACATTCAGAAGTTTTGTGTGTTGGAGAAGCACACAAGAGGCATAGTTGCTTTTGCCTAAGATACGAAGAACGTGCTTGAGGGGTTGGGTATGCCGTGCACGTAAAGGATGGGTGCTCATCATGGCAGTACATGCATGAGCGAGGTGACGAATGGTTCGTTTTGATAATGTCGTTCGAAGGCTTCTTGTTTGGTAAGTCTCCTGTGTATGCTAACCATAGCTCCTCTGTTGACAGGAGGTCGTCTAGCAGGTGAATTAGGTGATTGATGGTGAATGACTCTTCTGCGTCCATTCTTTGCCTTCTGGTGATAGCCTTGCGCATGATATTGCTTGGGAATTTGGCTAGAATTTTCTTGATTATCCAGGAGCTATTGATGTTCTCTCCTTTTTCCTGTAACTGCGTAACTATAACTTGGATTTCATCTAGAAGACATCGCTGATCCTTGATTGAAGGGCTC